GCAGCCTTTCTTCTTTTCCTAGTACAAATCATTAAGGCAATAGATTTGCCTGAAATTGTAACATTTACTGTATTCCAAAAATGTTTTTAATTCAGTTACGTTCAGTTTTTAGTCGTTTTTTTTTTTTGAAGCCTGATATGCTGCAGTCCATGGGGTCAGAAAGAGTCGGACATGACTTTGCAGCTAAACAACAGAACATTTTTATTTTTAAATTGTATTTAATTATTTTTGGTTGTGCTGGGTCTTCATTACTACTCGAGGGCTTTCTCTAGTTGCAGTGAGCACGGTTTCGCTCTTGTTGAGGCACGCAGACTTCTCGTTGCGCTGGCTTCACTTGTTGCAGAGCACGTGCCCTGGGGCAGGAGGGCCTCAGTCCTTGGGGCTGGAGGCTTCTACGGCGTGGGCTCAGAACTTGTGCCCTCTGGGCTGAGTTGCTCCTGATGTGTGGGATCTTTCCAGACCAGGACCTCCCCTGTGTCCTCTGCATTGGCAGGTGGGCTCACAACCGCTCTTCCCGGGAGTCCAGTTTTTAGTGTTTTTAGAAAAATTTGCAGTATGGTTTCTGACAACTCATGTGATATTTAGAAGTGTTATTATTTTCTCTTTGTATTTAAAAAATTTATCTTTCATTACTGATTTTTAACTGCATTTTGATCAGCACCCAGGTACAAAATTCTACATGTTGTTTGAAATTTAGTGACATTTTTGTTACCTCCCAATGTGTATATTGTTTTTCTATATGTCCCATGTATCCTTGAGAAGAATGTTTGTTTGTTTTCTCAGGTATAAGGTTCTGTTCATTAAATTCTTGTTCATCATTTTGTTTTTAGGTATTTTTTGATTCACTTGATCTGTACAAAATCACTGTGTGTTGAAATCACCCACATCAATGGTCAGTTTGTCAGTTTCTTCCTGTAGTTCTAACAATCTTTACAGGCTTTCCTCCTCCCAGGAGATCGTGAATTTTTTTTTTTTGCCTTGTCTGGATAGAGATTTGATTTGCTTAGAAATGTTCCAGGGTAGAGTGAGGCTAGGAGAGAGCACGGGATGTAGAATTCTATTTTCAATTTTCACAGTCAGCTGGGAGAGCATCATTCTCACGGTACTGAACTTAGAAGCTGTGCTCTTCTAAGAACGAGTTTCAGATGCAGATCGGAGTTCTTGATCCTTCTGTTCTGTTTTCTCTCCCACTTCTTCTGTTAGTCCTTATTACTTCATCTCTTGGTCCATGCTGGTGTCCCCACTTTCACCTTTTGGGGCACTCACTACATCTGCCTTGTTTTCCTCTTTCCAGGTTGATCCTTGCTGAGATGGTTGAACTGCAGTGACTTCTCCCCATCACTTGTAGGGGACTGCTGCTCTGTGTTTGAACTGAGATCAACAGAGGATTAGCACTTCCCTTCACCTAAGCGTTCTCTCGAGGGAGGGGTCAGCATTTCCTCTGGTAGCTCATCAGGTCTGCGAGGCTTAGAAGTTGGAGAGTGACAGTCTTTTGCTTTTACTGAGTACTTCACCTTCCAGAGAGGTCTCACTGTCTCCTTCATCCACCCTGGTCTGACTTCTGGTGCACGCGGCAAGGTCCCAGTCCGAGATGACTTACTTCCTGTTCTTGACCATTACTGTTCTTGAAATTCTTTCCTTTGCCAGTTTCGGTGTCTCTCCCGAGGCTGTCATTCTAGTTGGAGATCAGACCAGTCCATCCTGAAGAAAATCAACCCTGAGTATTCACTGAAGCTAAAGCTCCAGTACTTTGGCCACCTGATGCAAAGAGCTGACTCACTGGAAAAGACCCTGATGCTGGGAGAGACTGAGGGTGGGAGGAGACGGGGACGGCAGAGGATGAGATGGTTGGATGCATCGCCCACTAGATGGACATGAGTGTGGGCAAGCTCCGGGAGAGGGTGAAGGACAGAGAAGCCTGGCGTGCTGCAGTCCCTGGGGTCGCAGAGTCGGACACGACTGAGTGGCTGGACAGCAAGCCGATGCTGCCGTTTGTCCCGTTCCCCCTGTGGCTGCTCTGCTGCCTGTTCGCTCTCAGCGGGGGCGTCGGGCTGCCCTCTGCTGCTCCAGAGATAGAAGCTGCCTGAGAGCTGCTTGAGGAGGTGCCAGCAGGGAATACTGGAATACCCTGAGGCCTGAAATGCAGTTTGGGCCTCTGGAAGGGTCCTCTGTCATCATACCTGTGATATCTGGAGAGCAGTTGTCTCTGGTGCTCCACGACTGAACGTCCTATCTATGGAGCTTCACAGTCATTGTCCCTCTGGTACCGGCTACAGGTTGCCTTTTTGCCACTGTTTGTCCTGAAGTCATGGCCTCTGTCACGGCCGCTGCTGCCTTAGTCATGATGGCAGTCATGGCCTTCATGGCAATCATGATGTTTGCCTTCAAAGCTCTCTTCACCTCTTCTAGGTGAATAGGCAAATCCAGGCTGTCTGTGCAGGACAGCTCCTCCGGTCCATATCTGTTTTGTGAAAATTCTGGTTTCTTTTTCAGCCAAAAGAACCACCATCTTTGTTTCTGTCCTGTCCTTGATTAGCAGTGTTCCCTGGAATTCTGTTGTCTAGAGATTCTTTACTGAGGCTCTGGACACTGAACGGGGACTCCAGGTTCTCAAACTGAGCATAATCAAAACCTTTCAACCTCCCTGCATTCCTGGGTTCTCACGGTAAATGCACAGTGCTGATAATTCTCTGAAGAATTCCTAAGTGGAGACTTCGGCCTCTCACAAGTTGGGCTCCCTAGAAAGACAGTGTAGGGTGGCAGATGGGAAGTGGCCCTGTTCCCAGCAGCCTGTGGAGTGGTGGGTAGGATGTAACAGTCAATCACAGGTGTTGTGACGTGCTGTCGTCATAACTGTGCCAAGTGGTTGAAACAGCCTCCAGATCATCTGTGTCGGGGTCATAGATGCTCCTTCTACCATGCTATACCATTTCTTAACCCGAAAGTCTGTTAGGGACTTCCCATTTTTTTTGGCTGAGATCACTTTGTTGGGCTGGGAGAAGGAACCAAAACTAGGCTATTTTTTTTTTTGAAGTGTGCAAATTCGGAGTTCTCTGTCTGCTTACTTAGATGGAATCTTGTATCATTTTCTTTGTCTTCCCTAATGATGCTCTTTCTCTGCTATTGTAACTAAGCCCAGCTTTCCTTTTGTTTATCTTTGCCTAGTATGTCCTTTCCATATTTTTGCTGTCATGCTATCAGCATCTTTATTTTGCAGGTGTCTCTGGCCTTACTTTTGAATTTGCTGTCACTGTGATTAATTTCTATATTTGGACTCTCTTCCTTTGTGCTTTCTGATAATGCTGGTTGTTTATGCTTTTTTTTTCCTTTCCTTTTCTAGCCGTTTTTTGGGAATTGATTATTATTTTTTTTAATTGTATTCTCTTCTACTCTACTAGTTTGTAAATTACACTCCTTATTTCCGTTCTTCTGTGGTACCCTTGAAATCCTGCTGGGAATGCTGTATAGTCCAGAGTGAAGCCGGAGCACAGTCTCTCTGCTGGACGGCGCAGAGAGCTGACCTCGTCACTGCCCATCCTCTCGCTCCCTGCCCAGTCCCTCCGCTCTGTGCTTCTGTTCTTGGTTCTGTATTTTATTCTGGTTTATTTACATACCATAATAAGATGTCCCTGTTGTTATTTTATTGACAGTGTTTATGTAGATTTACTTGTATGCTGACCAGTTTCTTGGCTCATCTTTCCCTTCTTGCATCTCAGAGCATCCTTCTGTGTAATTTTACTCTTTTTTGGAAACATGTCTTTCAGATTTTGTAGAAGTAAAGGCCTGCTATTGGTAAACTCTTTTTGGTTTATCTGGCAAAGTCTTGATACTTTCCAAAGAGAGTTTGATGATTGTGTTCCAAAGAGAGTTTTGGTGATTGAGTAAATTTTCTCTCAGTTTTCGCAGATAGATGCTTGCTCTGCCTTCTGCGTTTCCCTTGCCGCTTGTTGAGAATTCTGCTGTCCCTTGACTGTCTTCTTCTGTGGGTCATCCCTCTTGTCTCTGGCTGCTTCTAGCAGGCTCTGTGTTTTGGTACCGTGCAGTGTGACTGCCGCGTGTCCCGACGTGAGTGTCTTCATGTTTATCCCAACTGTTTTATGTAGTGTTTCTTAGAATTGTGAACATGTGTATTTCATGGTTCTAGAAAACTAAGTCATTTTCTCTGCTAGTATGACCTTTTTCTTCATTTTCTGAGATTTTGAGAGGCAGTATATGTCAGGTCATATTTTATTTTTTCATGTCTTTTAGTTTCTCTTTGATTTTTTAAGCTGTTTATCTCAGCATTACTTCAAAATGACTTTTTAAAGTTTATATTCAAGTTTGCTGATTCTTAAGTTCTGTCTAATCTGAATAAACTATATGCTCTAATTAGTAATAATATATTGATATTGGTTCATTAATTATGACAAATATAGCATTCTAATATAAGAAGTTAATAGTAGAGGATACTGGGTATAGGATATATGAGAATGCTGTTTTCTTCACAACTTTTCTTTAAATCTGAAACTATTCTAAAATGAAGAGTTTAAGCAAATTCAAAATGGTTCTTTTTCAGATACACAATGCCATTTTCATGGTCTCTTTGCTTGACCAATATGTCTTTTATTGCTAAAACTAATTTTTTAAAATTTATGTTTAATAATTATTATTATTTTTTATGTTTATTAAATTATGTTTAATAATCATCATAATAAAGTCCATGAGGGTAAGAAACATATTTATATTACCTTTTTCAATCTTACCCTTAGTGTTCATCTTTATCTTAGTAAGTTAAAGGTTAATAGAAGTTTAACCTTAAAATACTTGCCATGCAGGAGAAAGCTGAAGTAGCTTGGCTTTGTGTTTTATTTAAAAAGTAAAAATAGGGTGGGGCAGTGGCTTAGAACTTGAAAAAGTTATCTGTAAAAAGAAACATGCAAGATTTACTGGGGACAAGGTATTAATCATATTGAAAATTATAATCTCTAGTCTAATATGTGAATAAATTAACTTTTTTGTAGATTTAAGCTGAATTTTGGGACATGGCCACTGCTTCACCAAGGTCTGATACTAGTAATAACCACAGTGGAAGGTTGCAGTTACAGGTAACTGGTAAGTTGTTTTCACGGTCATTTAAACTAATAGTTTTCTGATGAAACTTTCTTTTTAATACCTAATTTAGCAGACTTATTTTATAAGTATCTTTTCTTTTAGATTCATGCCATGGTGTATTTGTTGTAATAGGCCTCAAAGATAGAAACTCTGTAAAAATATTTATTCCATGAGTATTTATTGAACCTGTACTGGATGCCGAGAAGCTCTATCCTTTTTGGTGGTGGGAGAATTTGGGTATTAGAATTAGCTCCATTGAACTGAGCTGGTTTTTAAATGATTATTAGAATGGAGAAAGATGCTAAAAACCCTTTTCCATGCGTTTAAGCCATTCATTCAATCATTGGGCAAATATTTGTTAAGTGGCATTCATATATGGAAACCCAAGACCCTAGAACTGCAGGGACTTACTGTATAATGTCAGGCAGGTTTGTTTTGCATGGACAGTTACTATGCAAAGTGATTGTTAACTGGATGCAGTGAGAACTTAAGAAGAAAGTGTCATAGTTCTGCTTGGAATTGGAGATGGCCTATAGGTCTGTGAGAGTAGGGTAAGAGAAGGATTCACAGAGGGTAACACTTTGACTCTTGTAGGAGGATTAGAGTTCGTTGCAGATTGGCAGCCAAAAGTATGGGAGGGAGAAGGAGCAGCATGTGTGAAAGCATGGAAGAGCCTTGGTTAGGGCGCTGCAGATCATCTATTCTAGCTAACTGGAGCAGTGATGCAAAGTGTGGTCCTCGAACCAGCAATTGTACTTGTATAAATTTATCTTGCAGGTATTTATATTGTTTATATGTACATATAAATAATGTCCACATATACTGTGTGTGGATAGTTTATATATAAATATCTGCAAGATAAATTAGTAGGAGCAACAGAAAAAGAATCTTTAATAGGAAAAGATTGGCAGAATTCTAGATAAACAATGACATGAAATGAATATGTGTATCAGCAAGAGCCAAGTTCTAAGATAATATTTTTAAGTAAAAGAGCAAAGTGTGAAATAGTGCATATAGCCATATGGATATGGAAAAAAAGGAGGGGTGTTTGTCTGTGGCTCTGTGCTTAGGACATTAGAAATAATATCTGCCTTAGGAGGGGCAGGTTGAGTGTCGGGTAAGAAGGAGGTATACTGTAACCCCATGGTACGCATCACAATTAGGTCAGTTGTTAATGGGAGTTTTCAGTGAACAGAGGTGTTCGTTGTCTTAGAAAGCAAAACACAAACCCCAACTTCACGCTGACAGTGCTCACTCTAAAGAAGAGCTGTAGTCTCTAAGTGACTGTTTTCCACTAAAGGAAGAAAAAAAGTTATTTTTACTTCATTTGACTTTATATCTCTCTTTTCTCTTAACTTCAGAATTTTAATTCTAAATAACATCAGCACAGGTATACCTGTTTTATCCTAACATACACACACAGAAGTCTTAGCAGTTTTAGAGTTACTGAAAGTAACAGGCTCACTCATTGCAGTTTTAAGATTTCTCTGTGAGTGTCCCTCCTTTGTATGTATAGTCAGAGTAACTTGAGTTTCCATTTGGTTATGCCACCAACTGGGTTAGATTCATTGCTTTCAGTTATTTACTTTTTATTTAATTTTATTTTATCACCATATAAGGCATTTACATAGTTCTAGAGTCAAAATTGTTAAGTCAGGATGGTATTTGGAGAAGTCTGGGTACTCTGTCCATTGCTTCCCCTCTTTCCCTTCCCCTTTTGGTAAACATTTTTGTTAGTGTTGATTCATCCATCTGTTGCTTCCTTTTGAAAATACAAGCAGGTATACACATTATATGCATGCATATCTCTCCTGTCAGTCTTCCTAGTTCCTAACATCTAGTTCTTGCACCTTGCTTTTCTTCATTTAGCAGTAATATCGTAGGGTAATGTCCATAGCAGAGTATTCCATACACCTTTTTATCAATGCCCAGTACTTTGTTGACTGGATGTACCAAAGTTAATTCAGCTAGTGCCCTATTAATGGACATTGGGTTCCATTTTTTGCTATTGCAAATAGTGCTACAGTAAAGAGCTTCATGTGTCATTAGGATAGAATTCTAGAATGAGATTGCTTGATCAGATAGTAAGTACATGTGATACTGTCAATCACAGTTGACCCCTGAACCACAGAGATTATGGTGCCGAGTTCCGCGCATTTGAAAAATCTGTGCATGACTTTACAGTCAGCCCTCAATATCCATGGTTCCTTATCCATGGATACAGCCAACTCCTGATGGTATAGTACTGTAGTATGTCCTTATCGTAAAAAATCTGTGTAGAAGTGTATCCACACGATTCAAACCACCCTTGTTCAGAGGTCAGCTGTTGTGAAAGTCTCTTCCGTGGGATCTGTACTATTTCTGTGTTCCCACCAGGTGTCTCTGAGAGTGCCTGTTTTCTTATAGCCTCATCAAGATACGCTATCAGGCATGATGACACTTAGGTAAGAAGTAGTATCTGAAGTGTCCTTTTATATATCATTTCTTTCATTATGAGTGAGGCTGAGGCATATTTCAGGGATATTTGTATTTAGTTTTTCTGTGAACTGTGAATTTACATATTTTCAAGCAATTCTCGGATGATTCTGATGTGTATTCCACATAAATGTAATTCATGATGCTTATGCTTTTTCTCTGCATAAGCTTAGAGCTCTGTCCTTGGTTTTCACTGTTACTTGTGCAGCACCTGTGGCCACCATATCTGAGGTGTAACTTTCTTCCTGGTCTTTATCTACTGTATGAGTACTTAATTGAAGTAACGAAGACCTGGTCTGCCTGATTGGGGCCAAAGGGGACCTTAGAGAAAAGCTGTCAGGTAAGCTAATAAATAGAATCACCCAAAGCCTGGAGAACCAATTGGAAAATAGATATGGACCAAAGGAGTGTAAGTAGCCAAGATAGTGCCTCCACAGTATTTTATCATTTTGAGTATCAGTTAATACAGCTAAAGCCTTTGACTGTGTGGATCACAACAAACTGTGGAAAATCCTTAAAGAGATGGAAATACCAGACCACCTTGTCTACCTCCTGAGAAATCTGTATGCTGGTCAAGAAGCAACAGTTAGAACCAGACATAGAACAACAGACTGGTTCCAAATCGGGAAAGGAGTATGTCAAGGCTGTATATTGTCCCCATGCTTATTTAACTTATTTGCAGAGTACGTCATGAGAAATGCTGGGCTGGATGAAGCACAGGCTGGAATCAAGATTGCCGGCAGAAATATCAATAACCTCAGATGTGCAGATGACACCACCCTTATGGCAGAAAGCGAAGAAGAACTAAAGAGCCTCTTGATGAAAGTGAAAGAGGAGAGTGAAAAAGCTGCCTTAAAGCTCAGCATGGACATGAGCTTGAGCAAGCTCTGGGAGTTGGTGATGGACAGGGAAGCCTGGCGTGCTGCAGTCCATGGGGTTGCAAAGAGTCAGGCAAGACTGAGAGGCTGAACTGAACTGAAGTGAGCAACTGAACACACACACACACAAGTTGTTCATCCGTGCATCTACTACATCTTGGTTATTTAGATGTTCTGACAGTTGTATAAATAAAGCTGTGATAAATATCCACTTGGAGGCTTTGTGTAAACATAGGTTTTCAGCTCCTTTGAGTACATACCAAAGAGTGCAGTTATTGGATCACATGGTAAGCCTATGTTTAGATTGTAAGAAACCGTAAAACTATCTTCCGAAGTGGTTGAACCATTTTGCATCTCCACCAGCCGTGAATGAGAGTTTCTGTTGCTTCACATTCCCCCAGAATTTGGTATGGTTAGTGTCCCAAATTTTGGCCAGTCTAGTAAATGTGTGGGCTTCCCTGGTGGCTCACAGGGTAAAGAACCCCCCTGTCAATGCAAGAGACATGGGTTCGATCCCTGGGTCGGCAAGATTCCCTGGAACAGGAAATGGCAACCTGCTCCAATATATCCTGCTTGAGAAATCCCGTGGACAGAAGGTGCCTGATGGGCTGTAGTTTGTAAGGTGGCAAAAGAGTGGGACGCGACTTAGTGATTAAACAACAGCAGGTGTGTAGTGATATCTCACTCTTCTTTTAATTTATGTTTCCCTGATGACGTATGCTTTTGAGCTTTTCATATGCTTATTTGCTATCCATGCATCTTTGGTGAGGTGTCTGTTAAGGTCCTTAGCCCATTGGGTTGTTTTCTTAATGTTGACTCTGAAAAGTTTTCTGTGTGTTTTAGACAATAATTCTTGATCAGACATGTCTTTTGCAGGTATTTTCTCCCTTTCTGTGGCTTGCCTTTTCATTCTCTTGACACTGTCATTCAGAGCGCAGCTTTGAATTTTAATTACGTGCTACTTGTAAGTTCCATCTTTGAAGGACCATAGCTTTGGTGTCATTTCTAAATAGACATCCGTCACCACACCTAAAGTCACCTGAAGGTTTTCCTGTTTTATCTTCTATGAGTTTTATCATTTTGTGTTTTGCCTTTAGGTCTGTGATACATTTTGAGTTAATTCCTATAAAGGGTATAAGATCTGTGTTTACATTTATTTATTCGCATGTGGATGTCCAGTTGTCTGTGCACGATTTGTTGAAAAGATGTCTTGTGCTGTTAACACCATCCAGTACTGCCTTTCTCTTCTTTCAGTACACAGATAAATCCAGCATGTACTGAAGAAACGACTTTCATCTGGAGTGAAGAACTTTGGTTGGGGGATGTTTAGGGAGAGATCTGTTCCTTCTGTATCACTCAGTGATAGAGGGTTTAGAGCAGTTTGGAAAAGAGAAGGATGAAAGTGAGTTTTGCCATCACCCTGATAGTACCACTTCAGAGGTAACATTTAACACTTTTTGAATGTTTTATGTTGCTGGTATATACGTATAGTGTTTCCTTTGAACCTCTTCCTTTTCTTCAGTTGTGAGTTGAGGGCTACTGTATTTCAGTAGTCTATTGCTGCTGCAGCGTTTTTCATGTCATATCTCTGTGGCTACTTATGTACATTACTGTTTCCTCACTGTAGAATGCAAGCTTGCATCAGCTTGTTTATGTTCACATTTTAACATGTGATACACGTATGACATGGAGGTGGCTTCCCCTCCTTATCTCAGACTCACAGTGTTCACAGGTAATTGACTACAGAAATGATCTTGATAAATTCTTACTACTACTTGGTAGTCAGTACTTTGCCCTGAAATTATGTATTCCCCATTTGAATTAGTAGTTTTAAAAGTTATTTAAAAATCAGATATTTAGCCTAAATTAAACAAGTCTTCCTCCAAGTCAGATAAATTCACTTTCAAATTCACTTTCTGTAGAGAAGTATGATTAACTTCTATAGTGACATTTTGATTTCAGAATTTTTCTTTGAAAAGGCAGATAACCTCTTTTTCTTGAAACCTACTTTCTAGGGAAAGAATTTTTTTAAAAAATTGCCAGTGTTTGTGTAATTTCAGATGGGTAAGTTATGAATACTACCTCACAGAGAGGTTAATAGACATATTGAATCTGAAGACACTTCAGTTCAGTTCAGTCGCTCAGTCGTGTCTGACTCTTTGCGACCCCATGAATCGCAGCACGCCAGGCCTCCCTGTCCATCACCAACTCCCGGAGTTTACTCAAACTCATGCCCTTTGAGTCGGTGATGCCATCCAGCCATCTCATCCTCTGTCGTCCCCTTCTCCTCCTGCCCCCAATCCCTCCCAGCATCAGGGTCTTTTCCAATGAGTTAACTCTTTGCATGAGGTGGCCAAAGTATTGGAGTTTCAGCTTCAGCATCAGTCCTTCCAATGAACACCCAGGACTGGTCTCCTTTAGGATGGACTGGTTGGATCTCCTTGCAGTCCAAGGGACTCTC